GAAACATGCGGGACTCCAAATCCTGGACATTGAGGTTCAGATCTTTAGCGATATTTCCGACAACAGTCCCCAGATTTACTTCCTCTGAGACGGAGAAAGAGAGCTGCCCAGACACCGCTTCCCAGTAACAATCCAGCAGCACGACCAAGAGATAAATCCACACAGAGCTCCTTTTGCTCGGTGAATGCATAATTCTACACATCGAGAAGGAGCATGTAGGCAAATCTTGACAACACGTTACAACAACCACGCGATCAAGATCAAGAAAGAAACATTCCAAACAAATCTTTCGGCATTTTCAAGACCGAACAAGACAACCGTCCTCCTTCGTCCGACCTTTTTTTGTAACAAAGCCTACATAGGCTATACATCATCCGATGAATCTAGGAGGAGCCCTAAACCACCAAATAGATCTTCCAAATGTGATGGTCTACAGTGTCCCCGTGTGGTAATATGTCATAACTACATGGTACATTAAACTTAATAACATTAGAAAGTACTAAATATGATAAATGATCCTTAAACATGAAACAGCTGAAATAATGCCGAGGTAAAATATCAAAACAAGCACGTTGAGTTAACCTATTAATAAAATTAACATTATTTGACTGAAGTGTAGGCTACTGCAGCAGTGGTGACTGAGTGATTTGTTTTGGTAAAAACAGAAAAAAATTTTAACTTAAGAGCAAATTGACTGCAAAGGTCAAATCAAAGTGTTTACTTGAAGATATATTATAAACAATGTAAACATGTTGCTCACCTGTTGTTGCGAAGTATATGTGTAAATTTATTTTGGCCTACTTCAACAGTGTTTGTGTTGCATCAAGTTCTGGAACTTGCAAGCGACTTTTAAAAATTTGGGTTCAGTGCGGCAGAGAGCGACCCACAATACGAATGTGGCTCAGCAGCCAAATATGATTGGAATTTAAAAAAAACTAACTAGAAACATCAACAAATGAACAGCAAGCTAAAATCAACAATATAGACATACAAACACAATAACCAGCATTCCTTCTACCTGATTAGAATTCCCTGTCAGTTAAAAGGAGAGTTCGCAAATACCATGACGGTTTCTTTTTGTTAAATTACGAAGCCTAAGTAAACGTGCACAATGTCCTAACTGAATGAAGAATGCATGAGAACCTTACTGTCTCTATTGTCATTACTGTGGCCATTGTTCTGGCACACATTTCAAAACACATTTTCGAATAGGCCTATAATGTGGAAAGTTACCACGACGTAATTTTATTACATTTATAAGAAAAAAAAAAGAATTCATGGTCGCAGCCGGAGCCTCCGAGAGTAAAATAACCTCGCACATACATTTAAAAAAAAATGTTTTTTCAAAGTTTTCTTACCTTGTCTTTGTTAGGTAAAGTCTGAGTTCTGGTAAAGTGTCTCCTCCGTTTATACTGATCAGCTCCGCATCTACAGGCGGAAACGGTGCGGGGAAAACCACTACGTCACTCTTCAGTGTGTCGGAGCTGAAACACACGTCATACTGCTGAGTAGCTTTAGAGTAAGACCAGCTCCCGTCAGGGTGGGTGGTGATCATTGGGGCGCTGTACCTGCTGAAACTGCCGTCTGTCCTGTGGCATTTCACAGCTATTAAACTGATGAGGCTCAGCAGAAAGATCACTGACACCGACACAATGGCGATCAGCAGATACAGGTTCAAATCAGAGAAGCTCTCCTCCTTTATGGGCACATGTCTGAACTGAGTCTGGATGTCAGCTGTGCTTTCAACCACCACCACATCAATAGACACAGTAGCTGACAGGGAGGGCTCTCCGTTATCAGAAACCAACACCACCAAGGGGTGAGTTTTCAGGTCATTGTCACTCATTCTCCTCTTAGTCCTGATCTCCCCGGTGCTGGTTCCGATCCGGAAGAGGTTGTTTCCTTTGGGCTCAGACAGGTGATAAGAAAGCAGCGCGTTGTATCCAGAGTCTGCGTCTACAGCCCTGATCTTTGCCACAAAGTATCCCGCTTCAGCAGAATAGGGGATGCTCTCACTGTTAACGGAGCCGTGCTCAGAATAGGGCGCGAGGATCGCGGGACTGTTGTCATTCTCATCCAGGATACAAACGTTCACAGTCACGTTGCTGCTGAGCGGAGGAACACCAGAGTCTGTGGCCTGAACTTTAAACTGGAACGTTTTTAACTCCTCGTAGTTAAAAGACTGCAGGCTGACTATATCTCCAGTCTCTGAGTTGATGTTAATCATTGTAGATAAGGGCAACGAGTCACTTTTAGTTTTTAAAAATGAGTAGCTCACCTGACCATTTTGATCAATATCGGCATCAGCTGCAGACACTGTTTTAATAACTGCTCCAACTGGACTGTTCTCTTTTACATAAACATTAACTAGCGGCTCGGAGAAGCGAGGCGGATTGTCATTTACATCAGAAACATGAACAGTCAGTATGTTGGTGCTGGAGAGAGGTGGAGTCCCTTCATCTGTTGCTACGATGGTGACATTGTACTGAGACTGAATCTCTCTATCAAGCGGACCATTAACGGCTAACGAATAATAATTTTTGTAATTAGTTTCCAATTTAAAGTGGTTCTCATTTTCAATGAAAGCTTTAACTACACCGTTTTTCCCGCCGTCTTTGTCCATTACAGAGACGAGAGCAATAGCAGTACCTACTTTAGCATCCTCCTTCACTGTGTTTAGTAGTGATGTCACAGTGATCTCAGGAGCGTTGTCATTTAGGTCAACCACTTCTACCAGCACCTTACAATGAGCAGACATCGGAGGCTGGCCTTTATCACTGGCCTGTGCATGAATCTCAAACGCAGGATTTTCTTCATAGTCGATCTTACCTTTTACTGAAATTAAGCCGGTGTTGCTATCAATTTGAAATACATCTAGAATTTGATCCTGGCCTTTTCTTCTCAACGAGAATTCAATTTCACTGTTTACACCCTCATCTGCGTCTGTTGCATTTAGATTGATCACAGTAGATCCTTTTGGCAAGTTTTCAGAAATCTGAATTTTGTATAGAGATCTACTGAATACAGGATGGTTGTCATTATTATCCAAAACGTTGATAATAATTTGTGAGGTGCCCGATCTGGATGGATGTCCTCCGTCTACTGCAGTCAGTGTGAGTTTTATAACAGAGTGAACCTCGCGGTCTAAAGATTTTTTTAATACTAACTCGGCAGACACGCTGTCTCCTCCTTTATGGATTTCTAAAGCAAAGTAATCATTATTACTAAGCGTGTATGTGTTAACACCGTTCTTACCAACATCCAAATCCGAGGCCTCTATCAGTCCAAATTTTACTCCTGGTAAAGTATTTTCTGCAATGTCAAGTGACTGCAATTGCTCAGAGAAAACCGGGGAATTGTCATTTATATCTGTTATAGTTATATCTAAACGGTAAAGCTTCAGCGGGTCATTGATCACGGCCTCAACATTGACAATACATTTTGTAGCCTTCGCACAAAGCTCCTCCCGGTCTATTCTTTCATTTACATAAAGAACACCCGTTTTCAGATTTACCTCGAAATATTTCCTCTTTGATCCACTAACAATCTGAAACACTCGGGACTCCAAATCCTGGACACTGAGATTTAAATCCTTTGCTATATTTCCAACAGAAGTTCCTGGGTTTACCTCCTCTGCTACGGAATAGGAGAGCTGACCAGACACCGCTTCCCAGCAATAATTCAGCAGCACGGCCACAAGATATAATCGAAACGGGCTTGTTCTCCTTGGGAAATACATGATAATATCCAACCCGAAAAAGGCATAAATCCAATTCCAACCAACTCCGGAAAACACTCTAAAAAATGAAACTAAAAATGCCCAGTTTCCCCCATTTTTAGCGGCAAGGTGGAAAATGTTTTTCACCCTTTTCTCTCTCGCCCTGCGTTCTTTGTAACAAAGCCCAGAGAAACATCATCATCTCCTGTTTCTGGGAGGAGTCTGGTGCCTCCTGAAATAACGTTCAGATGTCATGGTCTACAGTCCCCCCGTGTGGTGATGTAAAATAACTGCATTCAACCTCTGACAATCACAATGGAATCACTAACCAACTGTGCAAACAGAGCAATGTCTTAATATCAAATAAATTTTTTTCAACCATGTCAAAAGAAAATAATTTCTGCAATACGACATAATACTCCCTCTCTCTCTAACTTTTTTCACTTTTTTATGCACAACGATAGAACTTCATCTGGTACCGATATGCCGTCTAGAAAGCTACAGTAAAAACACGAAGTACATTATGAGTGAAACATTAAATCAAACTAAAGATGCAGATGCGACTGAAAGTGCTGATTGCGAATAAAATGTGTTATATTTCTCCGATTGCCAAAAGGTAAAAAAGCAAAGGAAATTAAGGTAATGAAATAAGCCATTGAAATATATTACCTAAACGTGATGAAACGGGATCTACACCTTCTATGAGTGGATACAAATATTATCATAAAGTATATGTGTCAGGAAATTAAATTAAATTCCATTAGACACATTTGCCGCGTTGCACTCTCCGTATTCTAGATAACAAACGCACTATGGTGCTCATTTCAGCACCAACGACATATGCTTGAGAGTTTTATGAACGTCAAATACATTACATTACATTAACTCATTTAGCTGACGCTTTTATCCAAGCGTCAGCTAAATGAGTATCCAAAGCGACTTACAATTGCTATGTATGTCAGAGGTCGCACGCCTCTGGAACAACAACGGGTTAAGTGTCTTATCAGGGACACACTGGTGGAGGTCTCATAATGGTGGAATGAACCCTGGTCTCTCCCACCAATGGTCTTATCCACTGCACCACCATCCCTAATGCTCTCATTATTCTGCCTTATGTACCACTGTACATTTCAACACAAATCAAAAGCCAAAAATAACCAACGAAACATGTATAAATACAAATATTTCACTTCATTTATACAAGGGAACAAAAACAATGTAGAGAGACATGTTTTCAGCCTCAGATCTTCAGAGAACAGTGTGAACTAAGGCATGTTGCTTTTCATACTTTTCTTACCTTGTCTTTATTAGGTAAAGTCTGAGTTCCGGTGAAAGTGTCCCCTCCGTTTATACTGATCAGCTCCGCATCTACAGGCGGAAACGGTGCGGGGAAAACCACTACGTCACTCTTCAGTGTGTCGGAGCTGAAACACACGTCATACTGCTGAGTAGCTTTAGAGTAAGACCAGCTCCCGTCAGGGTGGGTGGTGATCATCGGGGCGCTGTACCTGCTGAAACTGCCGTCTGTCCTGTGGCATTTCACAGCTATTAAACTGATGAGGCTCAGCAGAAAGATCACTGACACCGACACAATGGCGATCAGCAGATACAGGTTCAAATCAGAGAAGCTCTCCTCCTTTATGGGCACATGTCTGAACTGAGTCTGGATGTCAGCTGTGCTTTCAACCACCACCACATCAATAGACACAGTAGCTGACAGGGAGGGCTCTCCGTTATCAGAAACCAACACCACCAAGGGGTGAGTTTTCAGGTCATTGTCACTCATTCTCCTCTTAGTCCTGATCTCCCCGGTGCTGGTTCCGATCCGGAAGAGGTTGTTTCCTTTGGGCTCAGACAGGTGATAAGAAAGCAGCGCGTTGTATCCAGAGTCTGCGTCTACAGCCCTGATCTTTGCCACAAAGTATCCCGCTTCAGCAGAATAGGGGATGCTCTCACTGTTAACGGAGCCGTGCTCAGAATAGGGCGCGAGGATCGCGGGACTGTTGTCATTCTCATCCAGGATACAAACGTTCACAGTCACGTTGCTGCTGAGCGGAGGAACACCAGAGTCTGTGGCCTGAACTTTAAACTGGAACGTTTTTAACTCCTCGTAGTTAAAAGACTGCAGGCTGACTATATCTCCAGTCTCTGAGTTGATGTTAATCATTGTAGATAAGGGCAACGAGTCACTTTTAGTTTTTAAAAATGAGTAGCTCACCTGACCATTTTGATCAATATCGGCATCAGCTGCAGACACTGTTTTAATAACTGCTCCAACTGGACTGTTCTCTTTTACATAAACATTAACTAGCGGCTCGGAGAAGCGAGGCGGATTGTCATTTACATCAGAAACATGAACAGTCAGTATGTTGGTGCTGGAGAGAGGTGGAGTCCCTTCATCAGTTGCTACGATGGTGACATTGTACTGAGACTGAATCTCTCTATCAAGCGGACCGTAAACTACTAACGAATAATAGTTTTTGTAATTTGTGTCCAATTTAAAGTGGTTCTCATTTTCAATGAAAGCTTTAACTACACCGTTTTTCCCACCATCCTTATCCATTACAGAGACGAGAGCAATAGCAGTACCTACTTCTGCGTCCTCCCTCACTGTGTTTAGTAGTGATGTCACGGTGATCTCAGGAGCGTTGTCATTTAGGTCAACCACTTCTACCAGCACCTTACAGTGAGCAGACATCGGAGGCTGGCCTTTATCACTGGCCTGAGCATGAATCTCAAAGGCAGGATTTTCTTCATAGTCGATGTCACCTTTTATAATAAGTACACCTGTTTTAGAATCAATGTCAAATACCTCCAAGACGTGATCCTGACCTTTACTTCTCAATGAATATTCTATTTGAGCATTTAAACCCTCATCTGCGTCTGTTGCCTTCAAAGCTACAACAGTTGTGCCTACTGGTAAGTTCTCAGAAATCCGTGCCTTGTATAAAGCACTGCTGAAAACCGGAGCGTTGTCGTTAATGTCTAAAACATTTATAATGATCTGAGACGCCCCTGACTTGGGTGGATTTCCGCCGTCGACTGCGGTCACTGTAAGTTTTATAGTACGTTGTTTTTCTCTGTCTAAAGCTTTCTGTAGCACAAGCTCGGCAGACACACTCTCTCTCCCTTTGTGAACCTCTAAAGAAAAATAATCATTTTGACTTAGCTTGTATGTACTAACACTATTCTTACCAACATCGCGATCTGAAGCCCCGACAAATCCAAATTTCCCACCTGGTACAGTACTTTCAGCAATGTTAAGAGACTGCATATTCTCAGGGAAATATGGTGCATTATCATTTATATCCACTATATTAATATCCAAACGATACAGCTTCAGTGGATTGTTGATCACGGCCTCTACATTGACAGTACATGTTTCAGCCTTAGCACAGAGCTCCTCGCGGTCTATTCTTTCATTGACGAAAAGAAATCCTGATTTCAGATTTACATCAAAATATTTTCTTTTTGACCCGTTAACAATCTGAAACATACGAGCCTCCAAGTCGTTAACATTGAGACTTAGCTCTTTAGCGAGATTTCCCACAGAAGTCCCCGTGTTTACCTCCTCCCATACAGAGTAAGAGAGCTGCCCAGATACCGCTTCCCAGCAACAATCCAACAGAACAACGACTATATAAATCCCAAAAGGACTCCATATCTTGCACGTCGACATGTTTATATCCACCGTGAACTGAGCATATGGATACTAGTCTCCAAAGTCAAGTCTAATACTTTAGGAGGAAGACTAAGTGCCAGAATCCAAATTCCTTTCGTTTTTAGAGGTTGCAGACAAACTGATCGGTACACAATCCTTTCTTACACTGCGTCTCTTTGTAACAAAGCCCTGGGAAACATCATCATCCTCTGAATCTGGGAGGAGCCTGAAGCAACCGTGGAGGACATCAAAATGTGATGGTCTACAATGTCCCCGCGTGGTCATTTGATATAACTACATTCATCACTAAAACTGTTAAATCAACATACAGCTAACAAGAAGTCACAAATCACAGGACACTAAAAACTGTCCAATTTACTTATTTACTTATTAACAGACATGCCATAGTACAAAAGCAGGATACATATATTTTAAAAAAATGCATGTAAACAATACTGCATTTCTCTACTTCTCTTTAAGTCTATGAATTCAGGCAATGAAATTATGTACAGAGACAACTTCTTTAAAAGTTGTGAATTCTGGTATAAATCACGTCATTAAATGTAAAAATTGTCCACTCCAGTGAATATCCCGGCTAAAACCAGGACTGTTTGCACTATTTAGGGTAATATGAAATTTCAGTTTTACACCCTCCGCACACAGGCCCTGTAGGTGTTTATTTCAGCACCATGGACAACGACATACACAAAGGCCTACTGCAGCGCTGTCTGAAGAATGAATGAGAAGCTTACTGTCTCTATTGTCATTACTGCGGGCAATGTACTGGTACACATTTCAAAACATATTTTCAAATACAATGTGGAAAGTTATCATGAAATAATTTTATTACATTTATAAGAAGAAAATGAACTCATGGTCGCAGCCGGAGCCTCCGAGAGTAAAATAGCCTCGCACATACATTAAAATAAGTTGTTTTTTCAAAGTATTCTTACCTTGTCTTTATTAGGTAAAGTCTGAGTTCTGGTAAACGTGTCTCCTCCGTTTATACTGATCAGCTCCGCATCTACAGGCGGAAACGGTGCGGGGAAAACCACTACGTCACTCTTCAGTGTGTCGGAGCTGAAACACACGTCATACTGCTGAGTAGCTTTAGAGTAAGACCAGCTCCCGTCAGGGTGGGTGGTGATCATTGGGGCGCTGTACCTGCTGAAACTGCCGTCTGTCCTGTGGCATTTCACAACTATTAAACTGATGAGGCTCAGCAGAAAGATCACTGACACCGACACAATGGCGGTCAGCAGATACAGGTTCAAATCAGAGAAGCTCTCCTCCTTTATGGGCACATGTCTGAACTGAGTCTGGATGTCAGCTGTGCTTTCAACCACCACCACATCAACAGACACAGTAGATGACAGGGAGGGCTCTCCGTTATCAGAAACCAACACCACCAAGGGGTGAGTTTTCAGGTCATTGTCACTCATTCTCCTCTTAGTCCTGATCTCACCGGTGCTGGTTCCGATCCGGAAGAGGTTGTTTCCTTTGGGCTCAGACAGGTGATAAGAAAGCAGCGCGTTGTATCCAGAGTCTGCGTCTACAGCCCTGATCTTTGCCACAAAGTATCCCGCTTCAGCAGAATAGGGGATGCTCTCACTGTTAACGGAGCCGTGCTCAGAATAGGGCGCGAGGATCGCGGGACTGTTGTCATTCTCATCCAGGATACAAACGTTCACAGTCACGTTGCTGCTGAGCGGAGGAACACCAGAGTCTGTGGCCTGAACTTTGAACTGGAACGTCTTTAACTCCTCGTAGTTAAAAGACTGCAGGCTGACTATATCTCCAGTCTCTGAGTTGATGTTAATCATTGTAGATAAGGGCAACGAGTTACTGTTAGTTTGTAAGAATGAATAGCTCACCTTGCTGTTCTGGTCAACGTCTGCATCAGTTGCAGTAACTGTTTTAATTATTGCTCCTACTTGACTGTTTTCATTCACATATATATTAATTTGGGGCTCTGGGAAGAGAGGTGCATTATCATTGACATCAGAAACATGGATAGAAATTACACTCTTGCTGGAGAGTGACGGGGTTCCTTTATCGGTGGCGACTATGGTAACGATGTAGATAGAGACACTCTCCCTGTCCAGGGGCCCGTCAACTAACAAGGAGTAATAATTTTTGTAGTTTGTTTCCAGTTTGAGTGGAACCTGATCTTTAATTTGAATTTCTACATCACCGTTTTCCCCACCATCCTTATCAAGGACTGACACTAGAGCAACTACTGTGCCTACATTAGAGTCCTCTTTCACTGTGGTATGTAATGACGTCACGGTGATTTCAGGAGCGTTGTCGTTTACGTCCACCACTTCAACCAGCACCTTACAATGAGCAGACATGGGAGGCTGGCCTTTATCACTGGCTTCTACACGTATCTCAAAAGCCCTTTTTTCTTCAAAGTCTATATTTCCTTTTACCTTAATAACACCCGTTTGACTTTCAATTTGAAAGATATCAAGTATGTGATCTTGATCTTTGCTTCTCAGTGAATACACAATCTCACTGTTCAGGCCCTCGTCTGCATCGGTCGCGTTCACAGTGATTACTAGTGTGCCCACTGGTGTGTTTTCGGCTATTTTTGTCTTATACAGCATTTCGCTGAATATGGGAATGTTATCATTGATGTCTAAAACATTAACAACGAGCTGCGACACGCCTGCTTTCGGAGGACTCCCTCCATCTACAGCGGTGAGTTTCATGGTGATCACAGGCTGCTTCTCCCGGTCTAAAGCTTTCAGCAGTACTAACTCTGCAGACACACTGGCTCCTGCTTTGTGCACTGCCAAAGAAAAGTGTTCATTTTGGGTTAATTTGTAAGTGCTGACTCCGTTTCTCCCCACATCTGCATCGGCTGCTTCAGATAATGCGAATTTCACCCCTGGTAACGTACTCTCTGCGATATACAAAATTTGCAATTTGGTCGTAAACAACGGGGCGTTGTCATTTACATCTAAAATGTCTACGTCAATACGATAAAGCTTCAAAGGGTTGTTTATCACGGCTTCTACACTCACCGAGCATTTAAGTTCCTCTCCGCAAAGCTCCTCTCTGTCTATTCTGTCACTGACATACAGTACACCAGTCTTTAGATTTACCTCGAAGAATTTTCTCTTTGATCCAGAAACAATTTGAAACATACGGGATTCCAAGTCCTGTGAATTAAGGTTCAGGTCCTTAGCAATATTTCCAACAATAGTCCCCGGGTTTACCTCCTCTGAAACGGAATAGGAAAGCTGCCCAGACACCGTTTCCCAGTGCACATCCAGTAGAAAAAGCCCTAGATATATCCCGAAATAGCTCCATCTACAAGGTGAATACATCTTCCTGTTCAATATGAACAAAGCATAAATATGATTTCCAATCAGGGCCTGCCTGGTATGTAAGATATGAGCAGAAGTCAGCTTTGAATACGACTGAAAAATTCCGTGTTTGGTCCAACGTCTTCTCTTTACAACAAAGGCTGAGGAAATGTCCCAGTCGCCTGAAAACGGGAGGGGCTTAGTTATATCAAAGAGCAGCGCTGTCTCTGATGGATCAACAGCGGCGCCACGTGGTAGGCAATATGCATAGAGCAGTGGAAATGTCATGCTGCCTCATCTTAGGCAGCCATTAGCTCACACCTATAAGTATTGATAATTATATGTGATGCTGAAAAGCCTAACTCAGAAAGAGGTGGCAATTACATTTCAGCACCATGGACAGCACACCTTAGTATGTCCTGAATGTAAAGCGTGTTCTGCCCCCCTCCCTCACAACACAAAAATACCCCTCATTTCGTTCAACCTCTGTCCCCTTCTCTACCACACTCCTTTCCAATTTATTTAATTTAGGTAGTGGCAGATAATTGTCTAGAGGATGTCAGTAAAGTTTGTTTTAGTTTTGGTGAAATAACCAGATATTTACATTTACATTTACTCATTTGGCACATGCTTTTATCCAGAGCAACTTACATTAGAGGAACAACATAAAACCATCAATAAAGCAGCAATGAAGTTGGAAATCTACAAATGACAATAGATACTAGTAAAAGCAGCAATAAATACTAGTAAGAGCTATTAGCACATAAGGCATCAATGGGATAAATACCTAGGGAAAGAAATTGCAACATCCAGCTATTCATCAGGATTTTCTTCTCATGAGCCAATTTCTGAATTGTACCATTGTTTTCAATGATAAATTGTCAGCTAATCTTTGCCCAAAAGCTTTCACCTTCCATTTATGTCTTATTTCTATATCAAATTACTACATACTTGTACACATAAAGATTTCAGTTATTACAAACAGTTTATTTGCAATATAAGGCTGAACACTGGCCTAAAATGTAGAAATAAATACAGTTTTTTCCCACTGCTTTTTTCTTTTTTTGTGTCAACCTTGAAGGCAATAAATAAAGTTATTTGGACCCAATTGTTCTACTGCGCACACGAACACAGAAGGGACATCCGTGTGCTGTGATGTATTTTGGTGTATTTTAGCATTTCTCCACATTTCCACAGAGACAGTAGTCAAGAGCTTATGAACATTCCCTCATTTGTAATCCCAGGATTAAGCCCTGGATTCAGAAACTCCTGTCCTATTTCCATTCTGTAGGAAACATGATTTGATTTGAAAATATTAATAACCATCACACACTGAGACGCAGTCATCTGTTAACCCCAAAAATGCAATAATAATAATAGCTCACAAATGATGACCTATGTGCTCAATTTTTCTAATGTATGGCAACAGGAAATAGTATGTCCTGTCTACAAAGGCCCTAATGCACATGTTATTTACATACACATACACTTACACACACACACACACACATACAAACCACCTGGCGCATCAGAGCCAGACTGCTCATGATGAAATTTAATGATTCAACTATCTGTAGTGCACGACCTTACTGGACGTCAGTGTGGATTATCTTTCTAATAAAACAACACGACTCACATGGACCCCTGATCCTACAGTTTACTCAGCACTGTAAAGATAATTTATCTTTTTATAAACACAAATCTTACTATGGTTTCTACATTGTGGCCTGCTGACACAGTGACCTTATTTTATAGGCTAAATGTACCATTTAAATGTGTAACAAACACACATATACTACTACCAGTCCTAGTCTATGAATGAGGCTGTAGTACTGAATCT